TCTGCTCGCTACTGCTATTTATTTCTCATTGGAGTTTTAAAATGTTATATATAGATAATTTTGTCACATCGAATATTAAATGGTATGTGTTTATCAGACTATATAAATATATAAATTAGTTTATGTATATATGTAGGGGCCTCCATATAAGTTTTTGCCCTGGGCCCCCAAAACCCCAGGACCGGCCCTGGGTAATACAAGATATGTTCCATTGCTATTGGAAATCTTTCTTCAGTCTTGGTTTCAGTATACTTGTACTTGTGATTATTGCGGGGGCTTATCCAGTATATTTGGTGCAATATTTGTAGATTAATCGCCTCCTGTTGGAAGATGGCACAGGAGCCACGTCAAATGCTGTAGCAGATTCTAAAGACTCGGAATATCGTTCAATAGTAAATGAATTCCGTGCTTTTCTAAGTGATAGCAAAGATGTATTAGATGAGGCAACAACAATGAGACTGTTGGAAAGGTATGTGGTACCATTGTTGCACAATATGCTTCACTGGTATTTTAGGTTGTTTAAATTCTCATATATGTATTGTACAGGTAACTTACATATCTTTGGATAGAACCTGCATAATTTTAATATTCCATACATTAATACTATATTTAAAATTGTTGAACATTTGCCAAACAAAGGACCTGATTTAATGTCCATTTGCTTTAAACTCAGGGCTTTGTGTACAACCAGTAGGATTTGTTCTATTAAGAAGGATATCATCTTTGAGCCTTCAATAGCTCATTTATTTAAAAGGGGAAATGCAGCAAGACTGCAAACTGCATCAATGGATAGACTATAAAATATTTCATTATTTAGTTTATGCAATTCTGTTGACTTGTCATGAATAAGATGGCGGTGTGTTCTCTCCATTTGTTGTGTTGCTGATTATATGTGTTCCCCAACTGGTACCTTGAAACCTTTTGCAGTTATGGGAGAGTGGATGAGCTGGTTTATTTTGCTGGTTTAAAGGAGCAACATGAAATTGTGGTTCATCATTACATTCAGGTCAGTGTCAGGCATTTATCATCTAAAGGTGTTAAATACTAATTTGTGTCGAGCATAACAATAGTAAATAGTATAATCTGCCAAGTGCTAGCTAGTATTAACATTATGTTTGCTAATATGTTTGAGCAAGCAAAGATATGCATACCTTGATTATCGGCCTATAATGGGTGATAAGAGCTTGTTTATGCCACAAACTAATTGATTATTTTATAGAACAGTTCATGTAACATGTGCTGGGATGGGGCTTGTGCCAGCCAGATATTTCAGGCTAGGCTATGCTTTGAGCAGGCTCAATGCCAGCATGATCTTGCATTCTTACCATAGTCTAACATCAAATTTCCCTTCTATCTGTTCTCTTGAGCAACTGTAGTTTCTATATCATTCTTCTTTGTAGAATAGTTGGAAAGGAAACATTTATAATATTACTGGAGTTCGTTGCACATCTTTCTTTGAAGCCAATTGCTTCAAAATCATTGCATTCAGTTATCTTGAAAATACAAGTTTTTTACTTATTATATGAGGTACCTTTTGCACTTGGAACCCATTGGCATTAGCTGAGATGTCAAGTCCTTATGCATTTTCTATTTACTTTGTCAGCAAGGAGAAGCAAGAAAGGCATTGGAAGTTCTTCAGCGACATAATGTTCTAGTAGACCTTGTGGTACATAATGGCTTTACATTTATTCTTTGAATGCTGCAGTATAGAACTCAAAATAAGTTTATTATTGATTCTACCACAACAAGGTTACATTTTCTGTTTTACACAAAATTACACATTTAATATTTTTTAATTCTAGCCGTTGCTCTTTAACTTGTTTTTGTGCAGTATAAATTTGCTCCAGATTTAATCATGTTAGATGCTTATGAAACTGTTGAATCATGGATGATGGCAAGAAATAAGTTGAATCCAGGGAAGCTTATACCGGCAATGATGCGTTATGTGAGCGAACCACATGCCAAGTATGATATGCTAATGGCTTCTTATACGTTCCTATTCCCCTATTGCTATAATACTATATGAATCCTTTAATATTATGTGATATCTTAACAGTTGACAGCCTTACCGTCTTTTATCACACCAGGGAACTCTGAATGCTATATATAAAAACATTGTTACTATTGAAACGAATTTTGCTACTGGTGGAAGTGAATTTAGATCTGTTACACTTAAATCCCATATCAGATAGTGATAATTCGAATCAAACCTAAGAATGCCTAAACTCCCTATGTTCAGAAGCTCTGGAACAAACTGCAATTCTATGTAGCCAACTTGATTTCCATAATCAGGATGATGTGATGAATTCAACTCTTGCAGGAATGAAACACATGAAGTTATCAAGTACTTGGAATTCTGTGTAAAAGATTTGAACAATGAGGATCCTGGAGTGCATAATTTGTTGCTCTCACTGTATGCCAAGAAGGTAGCTCTTCCAGTAGTGCATTATTTGTTGCTCTTGCTGTGTGTGAAATTACACTTTATATTCTTACAAAGTAGGAAAAATATCATGTAATTAATTTTGTTGTGTATGTTTCTTTTTTATGTGTTGGAAACATTAAACTGTAATAGCAGTAATTGCTTACTTTGCACTCAATTCATCATTCATGTTTCTGGTGGTTCTTATGAGGTTGTCAATGCCATACCAGTCAAGCGTATATTTGTCAACACATATAACTAATGATTTTGTATGTGTACTCTGGTTTATTCATGTGCAGGACGATGAGTCTCAGCTTTTGCAATTCTTGGACACTAAGTTTGGTAAAGGACAGACAAATGGCCCTGAGTTCTTTTACGACCCCAAATATGCTCTGCGTCTATGTCTTCAAGAGAAGAGAATGCGTGCTTGTGTTCGTATTTACAGCATGATGTCCATGCATGAAGAAGCTGTTGCACTTGCATTAACGGTAAACCTCATTCCTCACTAAGTCTCATCATTTCTTTAAGAGTCTACTAATTCCATTCAATAAGCATCCCTTGCGCTTTCGCATATTGATGGTGTAGGATTTTGAAGTGTTCTTATTTTTATGAGGCTTTCTTATTCCTTTACTCAATTTGGTCCTTGCTAGGTGGACTTAGAGCTTGCAAAAGCAGAAGCAGATAAAGTTGAAGATGATGAAGAACTTAGAAAGAAGCTGTGGCTTAAGGTTGCAAAGCATGTCATTGAGCAAGAGAAGGGAGTCAAGAGGGAGAACATAAAGAAAGCTATAGAATTCCTATCAGAGACTAACAACTTGTTGAAGATTGAGGATATCCTGCCATTTTTCCCAGACTTCGTATTGATCGATGACTTTAAAGTAAGATATAAGTCCAGGCAGTCAGCTGCTTTACAGAAAAATTCCTCCTAATGTCCATTTCTCTGTTGAAGATCCACAACTGCAATTTTCTTATTAACAAAAAAGTTATCTGAATGAATAAATTTCGTTGTTAATTATTACTAGTCCACATTTTCTGCATTACCTCTTTTCTCAGCATTAACAGTGAAAAATATTGTCTAAACAGGAGGAAATATGCAAATCTCTCAAGGACTATGACAGCCAAATCGATCAGCTGAAACAGGAGATGGATGATGCTACTCGTGGGGCAGACAACATCAGAAGTGATATTGGTGCCCTTGCTCAGAGATACACTGTAATTGATCGTGAGGAGGAATGTGGGGTAAGAAACTGCTCACGATACCCAAAATGGTGTAGTTTAACTAATGTTGTGCCTGTTCTTTTCTTTATATGGTGTTACATGAGTTTCCTTGTTTTCGTTTCAAATAAGTAAAGATGCAAATATGCAACAAAGAGGAAAGATGACCCCCACGCTATATTGTTTAATATTTGTGTTCTTGGTATTGCTTGTTTTCTCAAGTACACTTAAAATTATTTTTTCCATTTTGATTCAGATGGTTTTATGAACTTATGTACTAACTGTCTTCGCTGCTATATCATGGTGTTAACTCCTCACTGTGCATTAACAGGTGTGCAAGCGCAAAATATTGACTGCTGGAGGACTGCACCAGGTAGGAAGAAGCTACACATCTACCGGACACATGGCCCCCTTTTATGTGTTTCCTTGTGGACATGCCTTTCATGCGAATTGTTTGATCGCACATGTAACTCGTTGTAATAGCAGCCAAACACAAGTAAGTCCCTATGCAACATTTCAATTGTTCATTTCCTTATTTTGATAGTTCAATCTCTTGTACCAATTAGTTACGGATGAATTCATTTACCTGTAGGCTGAAAAAATACTGGACCTCCAAAAGCGGCTTAGCCTAATGGACAGGAAAGCAGCAAAGGAAAATGGCGGAAACATGAATGGTGAATCTATTATCAGTGCGACACCAATTGACAAGGTTTGGTCACATCCAAACTACGAAATCCCGAGATCTGCATTTCTTGTACTAATGCCATGCATGTTTCTTGTGACAGTTGAGGTCCCAGCTGGATGATGCTGTAGCGAGCGAGTGCCCCTTCTGCGGCGATCTGATGATCAAGGAGATTTCATTGCCTTTCATTCTCCCTGAAGAGTCTGATGAAAAGGCTTCGTGGGAAATTAAACCGCAACCAACGGGTCAGAAAATTCTTCCAATGACCATGTCTATATGATTCTACTAGTAAAAGCTGAGATGGAATAGAATGTTTTTCGAGTTTGTATGTGATTTTGTAATGCTGAATATATGCTCTTTCATGTCCAATTTCTGGTTGGGTGGCTTTGGTTTTTGATAATTGCCCAGCTCGTGTATCTTTCTGACGAGCAGAACATTAGCTATCCTATCCAGAATAGTTTGTGTACAGAAACATCATCTTCCACTTCACTTGGGCTCTTGTACATGCCTCCTTTCATCAACTTTGCTCATAATAAAGTTGCGATTTGTTAGGGCATATAGGCGCTGAATTATGTTTCCTCAATATCTGAAATAAGATTTGATAACTTCAGAAAACAAAAACAGAAAAGCATTTTTGTGATGTAAACCTGCAAGAAACAATCGCAAAATGGGGCACTATTTGTCACTTGATTTTTTTTAATTACTTAAAATTAAAAAGCACAGACGTCCTCGTTGGAAAAAAAAAAACCTTCACTCCGGTGCTTTTTACTGGAAGTAGAAAATAATCTAAACCGTTGATCTCAATGGATCCAAGGGTTTAGATCTATTTCTACTACCATCTCATATAACGGTAGTAGAATCGTGGAAGGGTAATATTGTCTAGGAAAAAATATTTGTGGAGAGGTATAATTGTAATTATGCAGTAATTGTGGAAAGGCCAAGAAAGAAATAGTAAAAGTCTAAAAATGGATTGAAAAGGATAAGACTGGCATTACAATTAATCAATCTTAACCCACAGCATCACATGGGTAGGGGGTAAAAGATGGGTAAATAAACCAACTGTAAGAACAAACCAAGAGAGAACTGTCTCTGAACAAATGCTCCTAAATTTAGCAACTTGTCAGGACACAAACTACAAGAACAGAAATAGAAAGAACAGTCTCATCCATCAGTGCAGCCATTGGACAGCATTGCGACGCTGCTTTCTCTGCCCATAAAAGGAATTGAACCCCACACCCCCCCTCCTACTCTTCCTCCTCCTCCCTCCTCGCCGGAGCTTGGCTGAGCTTGAGCTGAGCTGAGCTGATCGGCGGCGGCAATGGCGGGCGGCGCGATGGTCCAGACGGTGGGTGGCAAGACGTACCCGGGGAAGATGACCGCGTTCGTGTTCTTCACCTGCCTCGTCGCCTCCTCCGGCGGCCTCATCTTCGGCTACGACATCGGCATCTCCGGCGGCGTCACCTCCATGGACTCCTTCCTCAGCGAGTTCTTCCCGTCGGTGTACGCGCAGGCGAAGGCGAGCAAGGACACCAACCAGTACTGCAAGTTCGACAGCCAGCTGCTGACGCTCTTCACCTCGTCGCTGTACCTGGCGGCGCTGGCGACGTCGTTCGTGGCGGCGTGGGTCACCCGGGTGTTCGGCCGGAAGTGGTCCATGTTCTGCGGCGGCGTCACCTTCCTCGCCGGCTCGGCGCTCAACGGCGCCGCCACCGACGTCATGATGCTCATCCTCGGCCGCATCCTCCTCGGCATCGGCGTCGGCTTCGCCAACCAGTCCGTGCCGCTCTACCTGTCGGAGATGGCGCCGGCGAACCTCCGCGGGATGCTCAACATCGGCTTCCAGCTCATGACCACCATCGGCATCCTCTCCGCCAACCTCATCAACTACGCGACGTCGAGCATCGAGGGCGGGTGGGGGTGGCGCATCGGCCTCGGCCTCGCCGGCGTGCCCGCGCTCATCATCACGCTCGGCGCGCTCGTCCTCCCGGACACCCCAAACTCCCTCATCGCCCGCGGCTACGCCGGCGACGCCAAGCGCGTCCTCGTCAAGATCCGCGGCACGGACGACGTCCACGACGAGTACGACGACATGGTAGCGGCAAGCGAAGAAGCCGCCTCGATCGAGCACCCATGGCGGAACATCCTCCATCGCAAGTACCGCCCGCAGCTCACCATCGCCATCCTCATCCCGTGCTTCCAACAGCTCACCGGCATCAACGTGATCATGTTCTACGCGCCGGTGCTCTTCCTCACCATCGGCTTCGCCGGCGACGCGTCGCTCATGTCCGCCGTGATCACGGGCCTCGTCAACATGTTCGCCACCGTCGTCTCGATCATCTCCGTGGACCGCCTCGGCCGCCGCGTGCTGTTCCTCCAGGGCGGCACGCAGATGTTCATCTCCCAGGTGGTGGTCGGGACGCTGATCGCGCTCCAGTTCGGCGTCGCGGGCGTCGGCGAGATGTCGCGGTCGTACGCCATCTTGCTCGTGCTGTTCATCTGCATGTACGTGGCCGGGTTCGCGTGGTCGTGGGGGCCCCTGGGGTGGCTGGTGCCGAGCGAGGTGTTCGCGCTGGAGATCAGGTCGGCGGGGCAGAGCATCGCGGTGTGCGTCAACATGATGCTGACGTTCGTCATCGGGCAGGCGTTCCTCACCATGCTGTGCCACCTCAAGTTCGGCCTCTTCTACTTCTTCGCCGGGTGGATGCTGGTCATGACCACCTTCGTCGCGCTCTTCCTGCCGGAGACGAAGGGGGTGCCCATCGAGGAGATGAACCACGTCTGGAGCCGGCACTGGTTCTGGGGCAGCTACGTCACCGCCCACGACGTCGCCGGCGCCGGCGCCGGAGGAGGAGGAAACCGCAGAAGCCACAACGTCTAGCTCTTACATATACTATTACCGTTTACGAGTTACGCGAGAGAGAGAGAATTAATGGGTAGGTTGTGTAATTAGGTAATGCAAGAATTAATTAAACCAATTAATTTCAAGGGACAGGTTTTTAATTAATTAATTAATTCGGGGAGGGGGGAGCTTTAGAATTTGGTCGGGGCAGGTTAATTTCAGGGTATTTGTTGTATAGATTTTGAATTTTATAGGTGTTTTCTTTTTATGAAATTCTTATGTAGTAAATTCTTTGGAGAGCGCTACAAATATCGCATGGTGTTGCCGCGCATGTAGAGTACTGTTTCTCTAACCAATAAAAAATGTTTCAACAAAAATGTATCAGTTATGTGTATCTTGAAAATAAAAAATGTTTCGTTACTCTTGAGAAATGTTTCATCGATCGGGTTAAACAGTTTTAACTATAGATGCAACACTTGAAAACTACTTATTGCAACACAAAGAAAACAATACGTGGAATATCCAATAAAAAAAATACAATGAAGCATTATACCACAACCTGGTGAAACAAAAGCAAATAATGGATTGCAATTATCGCTGAACTCCAAGAGAAAAAAAAAACAACAAACTTTGCCTTCTTCTTCTGCCCCAGCCATCCCTCAGAACTCACATGTAGTTCTTGTCGGTGAGATCCTCGACTGTAGCTAGAGGGCATTGTGCCGGGCCTCGTCGTACCTCCGATGACAACCAGCCACCACCATCGCTCCCATATCCTTCTGCATCTCCTTCTCTTGTTCGTGGTATTGTTAGGCGTCCATCACTTCCTTTCTCTCCACGTTTGCCGCCACCGGCGCCGCTGCCGTGGCCTCTTTTAAAAAACAGAGTTACACCTGCGCAAATATTTGTTAGTCCTAGGATTTGAGTAGTAGGTAACATGAGTTGGGATAAACAGACACTAGCTACTCGGTTTGAAGTTTTTTATTTTATTTTTTTGAAAAATAAATTTCAGTGAGCATTCCTTGTGGTATATATTATGGTAACTTCCATTGAAATACATATTATTTTGGACAAACTTTTTAAAAGCTAAAAGTGTCAATATGTTCTAATCAAGGCTAAAGGCATGCTTGGCACAACTCCAGTTCTAGCTCCACATCTCTTGGAGTTGAGCTGGAGCCAAGCCAAACAGTTTCAACTCTACATAAAATGGGAGTGGAGCTAGGCGGAGTGCTATCACAAAATGAAACTAGAGATGTGGAGCTGGGTTTAGACTGCTCCACAACTCCACTCCAGGCGCAACTCCTGAATAACCCGTTTGATAGAGCTCCAACTCCTAAATTTAACTTTAGGAGTTGGGTCTGTTTGGTAGAGCTTCAACTCCTAAATTTAGCTTCAGGGGTTGAATCTGAGTGGAGTTATATGAAGCTGTCTAAATCTAGCTCCACCTCTTTAATTCATTTTGTGATAGCGCACCACCCAGCTCCACTCTTATATTAGGTGGAGCTAAAACTGTTTGGCTGGGCTTCAGCTCCAAGAGAGGTGGAGTTGGAGTTGGAGCTGTGCCAAACAGGCCCTAAACCTAGCTACACATCTCTAGTTCATTTTGTGAGAGCACTCCACCCAACTCCGCTCTCATTTTAGGTGAAGCTGAAACTGTTTGGCTGAGAGCTGGAGTTGTGTCAAACATGCCCTATATTATGTAGAGTAGATTTATTTTGAAAAATACTTAGGTGTTCCATCCGAATTCATGAATTTTACATGATTTTTTAACAAGTTAGTCCAATTGTAAAAAGAATGATAAATTCCTCCCTTGCAAAAAAGGTAAAACACAATACTTAAGCAGTTCATTTCATTAGCTATCCTACTAATACCAAAGATTTGAGAAGTAGTGAAACAAACACTCCCTATTTTTTTTCTTTATGTTCTGTTTTTTCAAGGACTTATTAATTTTATTTGGGAGGATCTTTTTCCAAATTTTGATAATTCCCACTCACCTAGCCCACATTCTTCTTTTTTTTTAAAAAAAAAGAAGAATATAACAGTCCACAAACCCAGTTCCATCTCTACCAAGAATCAGACAAGCCATTAAATATTTATTTCCTCGCCCTCAGTTTTATATTACAATATGCTTTGATGTTTTTCCATAGTCAAATTTATTTAAGTTAAGCAACTTTATAAGAAAACATAGCAGCGTTTTTAATACCAAACAAATATACTATGAAAATATATTAAATGTTAAGTTTAATGAAACTAATTTGATGTTATAAGTGTTGCTTAATTTCTCCATAGATTTGGTCAAACTTTGTAGGAGTTTAACCATGAAAAAAGGGTAAAAATATCTTATTAACTACTTTAAAAACAAACATAGTTGCTCTCCTTCTAAAAAACCGCTCCCTCTTCTTCAAGGAACCGTATCCTCTGACATTACACAGCAATGTCACCGCGTGACATTCCTTCGATCCACACCATCCATTCTAAATCAACGGCCACAGACTAATTGGCATCTAACTAATCAAAATAACTAGCAGATCATGTAGGTATATGTACTTAATAGGTGGGAAGGATTTTTTTTTGTTAGCACTAAAGCAGTCTCTTCATCTTTGAAGATTCAGAATTGCCCCGTTTTGACGGAGGATGGCAGCACAAAATTGATGCACAGGGATTCACTTCCTCCAGGATAATGTGCTAATCGCTACATCTAACAAGTAAGTGAAACATAATTATCATCATATGTCGATTCTTCCATCGGTCAACGATGTTTGCCTCTTGAAAATGCAATATCTGATCTAGGGACACTACACAATCTACTAATTAGTTTGGTTGATTGCATGTCAAATAATCTACGGCCGTTGATTTATAATGGATGGTGTGGATTGAAGGAATGTCACACCGTAACATTACTGTGTAAATGTCAGAGGATATGGTTCCCTCCTTCAAAAATGGATTGGGATTCGGTGACATTCCCCCGTGACATTCTCGGTGACGTTGAGTCACTGACATGGGTGACACGGAGAATGTCAGTGACTCAACGTCACTGAGAATGTCACGGAGGTATGTCACCGAATCCCAATCCTTCAAATACCGCCCCAAAATAATCTCTTAGATCCCGTTATACAACTGTAACGTACGCACATATATAAATGGTCTATCTGATTTTTGATAAAAATATGTCAAATGGTAATTATAGTATAAATTTAGTATATATATATATATATAACTAGTGTAATTACATCTGTAATTTAGGAACTTATATTATAAATACTTTAAAACTATATATGTAATTTAGAAATTTATATCATAATAAATACAACTAATTTAGTGACTTAAGTAAACACATACTACAAATTTTCAATGAAAAATATGACGACACAGTTATTAGCAAATCTGTAATAAAAATGCGAAAACGAGACGGGCCGCATGGGCCATCAACCATCATCTCGTCCAGCCAACCGGCCCAGTCCAGCAATTCCACTCCCCCACCACCGCCATCCTCCCCCCCGCCGCCTCCACCCGCCGGCGTCCACCTCCATCTCCTCCTCCATCACCGCCACCGCCGCCATCCATACGGGCTCTCCCGCTCGGCTCGGCTACTCCACCACCGGCAACGCTCCCCGTGCCGCATCCATCCCCCCCCCTCCAAGCTTCCAGTCGCAGGAGAGAAGGCGGCCGCCGGAGTAGGCACACGCAACAAGCAGGTAAGCTACCTCGTGCTCGATCGTTCGGCTTGCCCTTTTAGCCTTGGGATTCGTCTGGATTTGGGATCTAGATCGAATCGTTTCTCGGCTTGTGCACTACGGTTTTTGCGAGCAATTTTGAATTTGGTGCGCGACCGATTCCGCCTCTAACCCTTGTTCACCTCGTAGCTTCCAGTAGGTTTCCCTCACCGGCGGCGGCGGCGGCGGAGGCGGCGAGAAGCCGGCCATGGCGACGAAGCAGCAGGACGCTTCGACGTCCGGCGCGGCCATGTCCATGAAGGAGTACCTCAAGAGGTACCAATCCGACGACGCGCAGGGCAAGGCCAAGAAGAAGAAGAAGAAGAAGCCCAAGCCCGCGGCCGCCGTGGGCGGAGGTGTGCTTATCGTCGACGAGGACCCCACGTGGCACAAGCCCGTCCAGATCGAGGAGGAGCCCGCGTCGTCCGGTACGCGATAGCCTTCAAACCCTAGCTTTGATTTCCCCCCGTGGTTTGGTCTTGTTCTTCGATCTGGCGTGCAGCGTGCTGGATTTGATTGGAATTGTGATTGGTTGGTTGCAGGGGATGAGAGACCGTTGGTGGACGAGGACATCGAGGTCAAGCGGATGCGCCGCCTGGAGGCGATTCGCGCGGCGCGGCCGTACAATGCTATCGCTGAGGACGGAAGCGGGTGGGTCACCGTGGCCGCCCCCGAGGACTCCGATGGTGGTTTAACCGGTCGCCGCCGCAGAAATGACACGCCCTCACCGGAGCGCGGGGGTGCTGGAAGGAAGGATCTGTCTCCTCCGCGGCGGAGGCAGCGGCAGGATACGCCCTCGCCGGACCCGAGAGATGCTGCGGGTAAGGATCTGTCGCCGCCGAGGCAGAGGCGAAGGCGGCAAGACACGCCGTCACCAAAGGGTAGTGAGGTAGCTGGGGGGCATGATGATTTGTCACCACCGCGGAAGTCTAGGCAGCAACGAGACCCCTCTCCTCCACGCAGGCTCTCTCGCCATGACTCCAAGGAATCCCAGGACATTTCACCACCACGAAGGCGTACCAGGCATGACTCAGAGGAGCCACAGGACCTCTCTCCACCACGCCGGAAGGGGCGGCATGATTCTGAAGAACCCAAAGACCTCTTGCCACCATGGAGGCGCGTGAGGCATGATTCTGAGGAACCCAAAGACCTCTCGCCACCACGGAGGCGCACGAGACATGATTCAGAAGAGCCCGAAGACCTCTCTCCCCCACGCAGACGGACGCGGCACGACTCTCATGAACCCAAGGACAAATTGCCACCACTGAAAAGGCAGGCTTTGGGTGATGGGGACATTTCACCTCCAAGGAAGGGTAGGAAGGAAGTGGCTCCGAAGGAGGTGAGGAAAGCTGGGTTGATGACAGCAGAGGAAGTTAAAGAGGACATCAGGAAGATTAAGGAGGATGAGAGGCTCAAGTGAGTAGTACTTCACATCTTGCAGCAAAGATGCTTACTCCTTTTGGTCAGATTTGTAATAATGTTTATGTTTCATCTGGATAGGTTTGCTGCACAGGATCCCTCAGTGATTGGGAAAGGGGCAAAAGCAGTATTCCGAGATAAACAAGGTATGCACTACACACAGCTTATTTCTGCTGTTTTTTCAGTTATTTACTTATATACCCATGCTACTTTTTGTGCTAACAGCACTTTCTGATGCTTTCCAGGAAAACGAATAAGTGAAGAAGATATGAGGAAGGCAAAGGAAGACACGAAACCAAAGGTAAATAAATGCTTTTGAATTATGAGAATTCAATTGTTTTCTGTTTAAATGTTCTATGGCTCATGGAAGTTCAAATATGCTTCGGGTTGAACAGAATCAACAGATATAGATTAGCGGACATGTTTTGTGCAAATTATTTACCCAGACATTGCTTTGATCGGGAGAATTTTGTTGCAAAACTATAGAAATTATTCTCTAAGGGACCTGTTGTTTCCTACATTTTCGAGCACCTCATATGCATTTTTTTTTGGATAAGAAACAACATTTGTTCCTTTTGTCGCTATGTTCTATGCACAAGTTTTACCATGGAGCTGTCAGAATAGAAGATTTACAACGTGTGGGGTCCCTAAAGATACAGGAGCTAAGAAATATCAACAGCTACCACCAAGTACTAATAAACATTACAGCAAAGAATGCCTTATTACTGCCATTAAACTTTCTCACTGGTTGTCACTGTCTTCTATCCAAAAGAATGCTCTATTTAAATTTGTCTTTACAATTTTGTTATCAGCAGGGTTAAAAGATTACCATAGAAAATGGGAAGTTTTTTTTTTTTTTTTTGGGGGTGGGGGTGGGGGGGGGGGGTGTTCTCTATGGGCATTTGATTCATACTGCAAGCTTGTCCAGACAAATCCATGAAAGATAATAGTTGGACTTGGGAGAAATATATGATTATTTTTATCAGAATCAGATCACTTTTTGCAGAAGTAGCATGGAACAGATTGCATCAAATGATGATTGAATTATTCCTTCTTCATGACTCCTTTGGACTCTTTTCAACATATGATCTCTGTATTGGGTGCTGCCATTTGTAGCTAATGACTGATGTTCTACATGGTTGCAGGAAATACATATAGAATGGGGTAAAGGGTTGGTGCAGAAGCGAGAAGCTGAGGCTAGATTACAGGAGCTTGAATCTGAAAAGAGTAAGCCATTTGCACGGACAAGGTATTTAATACAAGTTTTGTTGCCTTAATATTCAGATTTTGCCTACTCGATAGCGTTGTTCTTGCTTAATTGCCTTGAACAAACTAGTGATGTTGAGTTGAAAATCTCCCTCCCTCTCCTCACTGTATCTCTGTGTGTGTGTGTGTGTGTGTGTGTGTGTGTTTATTAAATATGTTTATTTCTTTGTCAACTGTGAAGGTGTGGAAACATTCATTGCAAATATTTATAATTTGAACTTGTTTTGCATGTAGGGATGATCCTGAGCTCGACACCATGCTAAAAAACAGAATCCGGTGGGGTGATCCTATGGCTCATCTTGTCAAGGTAGCTGCCACTTTTGATTTTGAGTGGTTCAGTTGAACCCTTGAACACCTTCACCTGGCTAATTGCTGATTTATGTGTACATATGTTGCAGAGGAATGATACAGACCTCCTTCTGGAGGACTTGGGAGATGATGAAAAGATGAAAGAATCTGGCTTCATTGTTCCCCAAAATATACCTAGTCACAGCTGGCTGAAGCGTGGTGTAGATCCTCCTCCAAACCGCTACGGCATAAAGCCTGGTCGTCATTGGGACGGAGTGGATCGCAGCAATGGTATGTGCTTTCCAAATTCATTCCCAATTTTCTTTTCTTGTTATTTAACATCATGTTGCTTGGAATGACAAAAAGATTAGCTTACCGTTTACTCCCTCCATTCCAAATTGATCTACATATTTCATAGGTACACCAAGACCAAGAAAAACTAATAACTCACTCATACTATATTTACTCTAGCAACAAACTCGATGCATGTACCATCCCCACTATTTCCTAGCCAATAGTAAATCAAGATATTGCATGTGGGTTATAAATACTTATGTGCATAGATGCATGCATCAATGTCCATTTACTCCAATGCACAAATAACGAATAGATTTAATGAATGAACACAAATATGATGATCAATTAGGAATAATCTAAAAAAAAACTATATGTAGATCAATTTGGAATGGAGGGAGTATCACACAATGGATAAGTCAACAACTGCAGTGACAACCTGATAAAAAACTGTTGAAATAATGCGGATTAACAGTGAAGCTGTTTGTTACGGTCTCTTTTTTTATCTTATTGAATAGACCCAGCAGAATGTCCATTATCCAATTTCAAGCAAGATATATTTTTCTCTACCCTAATATTCAAAACCAGAGGGTTGTGTCTGCAAACGATTGGGTGGACCTGGTTTTATAATAGGGGGGAAGGCTGCGCAAGGGAATAGAAACTTGAAACATGTTCACGTTCTCTTTTCTTGGTCCATCATGTCCTCGCAGTTTCACTATGTTCTCTGGTAGATTGGTACTATACATGAATTTGGACAACTTGTGCAACTTTCTGGCCAATATTAGTGGTTCAGGCATCAGATTGTGTCCATTAGAAGTTTGTTTTGCATCTTGTAGTCTGGTCTCTTATCACTTACAAAGCATTCCCGTGATTTCACAGGATTTGAGAAGGATATGTTTAAGCTGAAGAACGAGAAGCAAGCAACGGAGCAAGAGGCCTACCTTTGGTCTGTCGCAGATATGTGAGCATAGCTGTTCTTCAAAGAAGCCAAGGTAGCTTGTGTGCCTTGTTAAACGAAGTAGTATACTGTAAAATGCTTGGAAGGAAGGAAGCACGGCCTCTCGGCGTAGCACAGCGTGCTTGAAAACTCAAATGTAGAATCAAACTTGTTGTGCATTGGTTGAAATCTTTTTGGCATTTTTCTCTTTGCCACTCTTAAAAACATTTTGTAACATCGATGAACATCTTTACTCGGAATTAGAAGCTGATCTTTTATAGAAAAAATAGTTCTGAAATATGTTTCTAGTCATGTTTAATTACAGAGATACAGTTTTCATTAACCTGATTGTGGATGGCCTGCATTCTTCTGGTCAGCTTTTGCAGTCAAGCAGACGGCAAATACACAAATTTGGCAAAGACAATGTGGAAAATGTTGAAGCATATTTGTAACCACCACAATGACTTCTCTGGATGCAAACAAAGCCAAACAATCTGTAAAGAACAGCAATTGAAGGTAATTAAACCGTTTGTGTTAGAAACGGACGCGCATTAATCATGCAACCAACAAATTGCCCCTGGTATCCTGGAAACCATGGCCTGCAGCCACTGGTTTTATCATAGCTACATACAGGCCTGCCAGTCTCCCACAACTTTGCTCCTTATCCACTCAATTAATCCAATCCAGGAGTCTGAATCATTGATTAAAAAAAGGGTCATGGTTATTCCAACCATGTGGCTGGGAACTAATTAAGAAAGCCAACATGCAACAAGTTTCCAGGATGCATGCATCATATCAGGCGATTTCTTATAGTTCATTACTCACTCAGATTCTTAATAACTGACAATTTTAACTTCTCCATGTGAAATTTGACCATTAACTGCCCTTATATTGTTAGATCAAAGTGAAGAAAAGTTTTATATTTATATTTTGGGCATACCCACTTTAAGAACATGGTATCATTTCCAGTATTTGAAGTACTTAAAAATTTAAAAGTGAATAGTATTTTTTTTTAAAAAAAAACATAAACTGATTTTAAAACATAAACTGAGATACTACCTCAGCAAATCAGCATATAGTATATAAGCAAAGTGGGAATACATCCAGTTTTACAGAGAGGTCCCTTGAGAATGAGCAAATTACACATAAGTTCTGAAAAATGCAAAGGATTCAACAACGAGAAGAAAAAGCAATCAGGTCCTTGACTTTGCATCTCTTGCAACTGCAACAGCCAGAACTCAGATAACAACGATAGGAGCAGAAAAACCATGGCAAGCGGCAAAAGATGAAACCCAGTTGCGAACCCAAATGGGACCTCCGAAGGATGGAGGTTAAAGCAACCTAGACAAGTAGAGATACACTTCAGTTGCCCTTTTAAACCATCGTCGTAGTCGAGGAAGAAGACCGTCGCTAGAGCAGGAGGGTCGCCGGAGAAGGAACAGGTGGCTGACGCAGGAGTTGAACTGACTCATTCCCATATGCCTTGTTTGAGCTAACAAGCCTCTTATTTAAGCTCACCTTTAGGTCTTGTTGGAGAATAACAATAGTAGCGAAGACCACCACCAACATCGCCCAAAGAGGTCCGAAGGAAGAGGTTCATCGATGGCTTGACGACGACCTCGAGCTGATCATGAAAAGGGAAACTAAAGGATTAACCTGAAAACAAGATGAACCCGATAAAATCTAAAACTAACCCTACTAGTGGATGAGAGTTGGACCCCCTCCCACCTCACTGACGACCGGAAAGTCGCTGAAGATGGAAGGGAAGGGGTCAGACAAGGAGGAACGCGTGTTGATCAAAAGTGAATAGTGCCCAATATCTTTATTATAAAACTGAAGAAGTATTACTGCCTCCTTACCTATAATATACTTATAAGATTTGATAAATCTCTTATACCCAAATCTAGAAAGCATTGCACATTCCTACTCTGAACCTGTGACCGTTGTGCAGGATGAAAGCAGGGCAGGATGGCACCCACGCGGCGCCGGCCATGGAATCTTTAGTGTTTGACAGCATGTGGTTTAAGTCCAACAACATAGATTAGTAAAACTAATTTTGGACGGCTGCAGTTAACCAAGTGTCGGTCGGTGGCTCTGTCTCGTGGACCAATCATTTCATTAGCATAACAGGCGATTTATGTCTGATCCGTGAGTCCTTTTAGCAGTCCAGACTCTAGGGTGACAGTACAATACGGAGTTAACTGGTAAAAATGGAAAAGGATACAAAATATTTCTACGATTTATTGTCCAGATGTTGTCTAACTCGAAGAAAACAAAATATAGTGTAAGGCTTACATTTTCAGCATTAGCAAAATAACTTATAACAATAGATTTAAGCAATACGGTATAAGAAACTTTTTTTTTGAGAAAATATATTTTTAAAGACGTGGAGTAAATAATCCGGTGAAGTGTTTCAGTGACAAAAGGGGCGAAAAATGCCGTTCTCTATAGAAAAAAACGTAAGGGGAGAAAAAAAACTCAGAAAATAATTATACAATCAATCAAATACTGAAATTTAAAATTGGTATGCCCTGTTTATGATTTGTGCACCTGAAAAACAAACAAAAAAACAGAAGCATAGCGCCAAATTTAGCAGATGAGATGAGTGACATAAGCAGATATCTCCAGCCTCCAGTTTCTTCAGAAAAACGGCAAAAACCATCGCCTCCCCGCCTCCTGTTTCGCCCACGAAAACTCTATATAAACTCCACTCTTCTTGCACTTCTCAATCCAATTCCATCTCGATCATCTCCTCAGCTACTACTGCTTCATCGAATCGTCGAAGCATCAACAGCTATAGATCAAGTTCGAGAGGTTGATTCAGAGAGGCATTGCAAATTAGCAATGGCGAGCGCGGCGGCGGCGGTGGCGGCGAAGGCGTGGTGGACGGCGGCGATGAGCGTGGGCGCGGTGGAGGGGCTCAAGGACCAGTCGGGCCTCTGCCGCTGGAACTACGCGCTCCGGTCGCTGCACGGCGCCGCCATGGACACCCTGATGCTGCAGGTGCATGGCGGCGCCGGCGCCTCCTCGCCGGCGGCGGCGATGGCGGCGGAGAGGCCGGAGGAGGAGGGGATGAGGAGGGTGATGTACCTCAGCTGCTGCTGGGGCCCTAGCTAAGATTGTCATTTAGATTGATACTATCCTGCTTCTTTTGCTGCTTGATTTCGTAGGTAGTTTTGAACTTTTGATTACTTGGGAATCTGAAGCTGGCTTTGCAAGCATCAAGATGCTGATTAAGTGATTCGTGTCTGTAAATGTTCCACGATGATGATGATGATGATGATAAATTGAGTCGCAAATTGAAAGGAAACAAAAAAAAATATTCCTCTCATGTCGTGAATTTTAATTTAGTATATATCCTTGCTGAGATGAGAGAAGCGTTAAATCTCCAAAACTACTGCTGTTTTTTTTTTTTGGCATATTTAAACTGTGATCTCTGCTTGGGTCGAAATGAGAATGGTGGAACGGCATTTGAAAGAAAAATTTGTTTTGTTAGGAGATAGTAATAAATACTTCCTCCGTTTTACAATGTAAGTCATTCTAGTATTTTTCTATATTTATATTGATGTTAATGAATCTATATATATATATATATATTTATGTCTAGATTCATTAATATCAATATAAATGTGAGAAATGTTAGAATGACTTACATTATGAAACGAAGAGAGTAACATTTAAGTTTCTACTACAATATTTTGCCACTTACTCTTAATATAAAGATAGCAATACTTTTGCATATTAAAAAAAAAATATTTTGCCACTTACTACAAAGTAAGTATCCAAATTAAAGCCTCTTGTTTATACCACCTCATTATCCAAAAGAATTTTATCGGCTGCTCCGTCTCGTTTCAGTCTTTCAAAGTAGTAAAATGCATTTATTTAATGGATCGGCCATAATTATGGCGATAGATTTTTTCCACAAACGCAGTCGAATTTTCAACCTTAGGATTGGCATGAAGATTCGTGCTCACGGGGCATCAGCACACACGCTTTGCTGTATTGGTTCTGACACGGCGTAGATGCATACTGATATGCTTTTTAAACTTTGTTGTTGTTGTAAATTATATATTTATATAAATTTACATAATAGTTACACCTCACTAATACACTATTTACATATGTAATTTTAGGATTTACATATGTAATTTTAAGACTTACATATATAATTTTGGGGCTTACATTGTAAATACACTAAAATTACATATGTAATTTAGTGACTTACAATGTAAACACATGCCGACTATATTTTGTGAAAAATATGACGCCATAAATATAGCTAGTCCCTTTATTTAATAGGAAACATAGCACTGATTATCTCGTTTAATGATTTCTTGAGCAATAAGCATTTCTTCCATTTATACATATTCTTGTCCAGCAAGTTGCAGGATGCGATCGACTGCATAAATCACCATGACCTTCAATTCAGAGATTTTTTTTTTGTATCACCATCCAAAAACATTACACATTGGAGTGGTGAATCCATCTCAGAATAAAAATTCAGTAAGTCCTCTGATCATTTTGCTGCTCGATCTTCTACTCCTCCCCTCTAATCTTTCAGCTCAAAAAACACAGGAAAAAAAAAGATTCAGCCTTTCAGATCAAACACTCAAAAAACAAAAAATATTCAGCCTTTCAGATCAAAAACCAAAAAAGTTTCAGTGTTTCAGCTCAAAAAACACAGGAAAAAAGAAGATTCAGCCTTTCAGATCAGAAACTAAAAAAGTTTCAGTCTTTCAGATGCAGTGGAAGCAGGAGAAGATAGATTTGGCGAGGTGAGCAAGCAGCATAAATCTCTGAATATCTGATCAGCAATCAATCTCCCAGATACAGAGCGGGATGAGCCTGGCCTACGTGAGCAGGCTGTGCGCCAGGGCGGTGCAGGCCGCCGTGCGGGCGGAGCAGCCGGCCACGACGCGCCGCCGGCCGCCGCACGCCGGGCGGCCGCCACCTCCCTCCTCCGGCGGTGGATCGCCGGCCGAGGTGGCGCCGGCGGCGAAGTCGGTGGCGGAGGAGAAGGCGAGGAGGTTGAGGAGGAGGGCGGAGAAGGACGAGAAGGTGATGCATCTCGTCTGCTGGGGACCAAGCTAGTGCAAAACCTGAAGAATGCTTAGTTTCAGTTATTTCTGCATATGCAGTTTCTGAAGATCAATTTTCCTTTTCTTGCCTCTGCGATTAAAAACTACAGAGCTTGGTTGTGGCCAGGAAGACCAGGATTAGTTTTAGACTGTGTTTATGTAGATCCTGGGAATTTTGTTTAATTACATGTATATATGTTGGGCTGTTGGCCAGATTAGTGCAGAGATCTGAAGAATGTTCAGACAGTTCTGCATATGCACTTGTCCAGTTCAAGCAGAAGGTAGATTCTTGAAAGATTGGCTGCAAAAATAATCCGAGATTTAGTATTTAAAACAAGGCAATCTTTAGTCGCAACTCGCAAATGTGATGTGTTGACTGCTATTCCCTGATCTTACATTTTACTGATCAATACTACATATATTTTATTGTCAGGTTATAACATGCTGCACTTCAAGGCTTCAAGCTGAGCAAACTCAGTTTCAAAGCAGCATAGTTGTTCTGGCAAGCCACAATCCGCATTTTTTGGACTTCTGTTCCTGTAAATCCTACCACAGCTTTTGGTGAAATGTATGTAAATCCTACTAGAATTTTTGGTGAAATGTATGTATGCATGCTGGCCAAGCTAGTGGAGTCTGGAGAGCCCTGAAGAATGTTCAGTTCTGCTTCTGCTTGTGCATATGCACTTGTGCTGCAGTTTCTGAAGAAAGGTAGATCCTTGAAACATTGGATACAGCCATTAGTCGATCTATGATTTCGAATAAAAGATCCTTGAAACTTCTTTTGTCGTTTGAAAAGTTAAAAGCGCGCCACAGTTCAAGCACATCAAACTCAGGTTCTGAGTTTCGCAAAATTTGTCAATGAAACACATCATATTTTCAGGCAAGAACTGGAGATGAAAAAACTAAAAACCTTCACATCACATGCTTTTTCCGTTGGCAAAAATATTCACGTCTTTGATCCATGGAGATCGAGGAAGGCAGGAAGAAAGAAATCAAGAAAACAAAAATCACAAGCAAAGCCCAAGAAAATGGACATGGAAATGGATGTGGCCTCAGGAGTTTGGGCCCCAGAAGGAGATGAACATGAACGCCCGCAGCGACTCCTCCTCCCTCTTCCTCCTCCTCCTCCGATCATCCTCCTCCTCCTCCGCCGCATTCGCCGCCCTCATCGCCTGCCTCGACGACAGCGAGCCCCCCGCCGCAGCCGCCGCCCTATCCTTCGCGTTCCACGTCGTGGCGGCGCCTCCGTCTCGCGTTTTCCCTGCCGGCGCCGGCGCCGGCGATGGAGCCACCCGAGCGCCGCCCACGCGACCCGCCAACCTCACGCTCATCGCCGCCGCCGCTAAGCTCTTCGCATTTCTCGGTGAAGTGAAGGGAGAGGAAGGGGCCGCGGTTGCCGTACTTGTAGGCGGCGCGGTGCGGTGGGCGGCGCCGCTGGTTACGCCGGCGAAACGGCGGGCCAAAGCTCAAACCTGCCCGCGGTTTTCTCCCCACGCCGCTAGCTGACGTGGCCCAAATGAATGGCCCAGATTTTCTGGAAATTGTCACCCTCATTGTTTGGCTGAATTTTTTTGAAATATTACTATCTTAATGGAAAATCGCAAAAATGGTGGCCGTTGGAGATTTTTCAAAGAGTAAATTGCACCCACAGTACAACAACTTGGTAGGTGAGTGCGATATAGTGCAAGAACTTGAGAATTAAACGTACGAATGCAACACTTCACAAGTAGGTGCATTTTAGTAAAAGAACTTGACAATTTAGTATTTTGGTGCATCAACTAAGCTAAGCATATGCTAGGTGAGTTTTTCTCACGATATCAATATGCCATTACATAGCAATCATACGGATATTACCTTGTAATATTGAATTTTATCTTTAAGAATTATACTGCATATCCAATTTATAACCAATTACCTTTAAGAATTTTTGTTTTCTTCACATTCCTAAATCTCAACCGAAATATAATAATTTCTACATCTAGTTTAATTGACTTTTAGTTATTAGTTATTAGAATAAAAATATAAATATGCTTATATACAAATCCACGCTAGTATATTATCAAAATAAGAACTTAAAAATTGAATATGCATAAAAAAGTGCTCCAAATAATTAAGTTGTCGCATAACTTCTTAACTTATTGTATCAAAATCGTACATATCTTGCAAGTTGTTGCATTTATGCAATCACTTATAAAGTTTTTTTAGCTAAACTGCACATACCTGCGAAGTTGATGCACTAGAACGCTCGTTTCTCTAGTTCTTGCACCAAATTGCACCCACCTGCCAAGTTGATACACCGTGGGTGCAATTTACTCTTTTTCAAAATAGGGGCCTATCGAAGTGCGGTAGTTCGACAGGACCCTATCGAACGGCCGTGTAGCAACAGGCGGGTGCTCTCGAACGGCGGGAGGTTGACAGAACCAATTTAACCACGGGAATTCGACTGGGCCCACAGTGGGCTTTCGAAATGTGGCTTCGTAAAGTGGATCGATACGGCGAGAGTAACTTCCATTGGTGCAAGGATAACACAACCTGAGATGACCACACAATTATTCAAGCATTGATGGAGTATGAGCGCCAAGTGTAGTCAAACTTACACTGGAGATCCAATCCATTATGTCTACCTGAATGGTTTGAGCATCCAAAATGCGGTTGTAGAGATCGCTGCCAAATTGCTACATCCTTTTCACAAGAGACATTTGGAAGGTGATATTCCGTCTGTCCCAACATAGACAACAACTTAGTTGTATGTCATTGCTTAATTTTTTATTTTCATTTTTGCTCGCGTTTCCATAATGCAATACATATCCCATTCTATAATTTGATTTATTCCTCAGGAGAACCCAAGGATGTGTGGATTCACTTTGTAGATCGACATGGTCAACCCGACGTATGATGGCGGAAGAGTAACTGAAGCTAAAACGCAAGTAGGGATAGGAGAATAAAGGAGCACGAAGTTGCGGCAAAGCCATGAAACCAAAAATGGCAATGAAAATAATAAAGAATTTGTATATAAACAATACCTCATTAATCCAAATATTTTAAGAAACAAATAAAAACTACAACTAGCAAAGAACAATAAAAACTACCGCAGTTCGACAGGCCCCTATTTTAGTGAAAAATCTTCGATGACCACCATTTTTGCGATTTTTCATTAAAATAATAATATTTCCCAAAAAAATTCTTGTTTCTCTTACTCGTATGATTAATATTCGAATCGCTTAATATCAAATAAAAAAAATCATTTCTGAGTAAAGTTTCTTTATATATGTTATTAGCAATTAAAAGCAGATAGTGTAAAATAAACTACAATGAAAAAACAAAAAACAAAATTCAAAATTGAGTTCTAAAATTTAAATTTTGGCTTATAACTTACTCCCTCCATCCCAAATTATAGGGCGTCATCTTTTTATGGAAAATTAAACTCAGTAATTTTTTTACTAATAATAATATAAACCATATATATGCTAAGTATTATGCGTGTTATATCACTAAATTCACATTTCAATGTACTTTCATGTGATAGTAACTTCATATTTGTTAAAAACATAACATGAAATAAATGGATTGTCAAAGTATGTTACTGAATATCGTGTAAAAAAATATAGGCCTTATACATTGGAACCGGGGGGGGGGGGATATAAACATAAGCATGAGTCATTATCTTCTCACCACATTTGAATTTGAACACATTTCAAATGGTACACAAATATACAATCTAGAAAAATAAATATCAACAGTTTAATAACTTTATTTTCTTCCCAAAATAACACAAATTTCTGCTGAACAATAAACAAGAAATCAGAAATGTTACCAACTTGGGTTCTACTATAGATGTTCCAAACCTATGGTCTATACATTCCAAATTTTGCAGTGAACGAATTACTAAATTCCACTCTTATAATGTTGAAGGAATCGAAGACAAAAATCACTTTACTGAAGAAGATTATGAACATCAAGAATGCAACCTAGAAAAGATACCAATTCTGAGTTCAGCTGAGGTGAGCAATGTCAACCTCGTCAGGGATCTTGAATGTATCTGCGGCACCAAACTTCCTCCTGCCATCCTCCCACTCATCTTCGTCCTCCATGCTGTCCTTGTCGTCGTCGTTGTTGCCATGGCCGCTGTGTTGTGCGTGGGAGGATTGGTCGTCATGGACGCTCTTCGACTTGCAGGGCTCGTTGGCAAGCATGGTGACCTGACCAAGGTGGGAGATCTCCACAACAACGGTGTCGTCATCTTTTGGGAGGGGCTGCTTCCATGGCTCCCCATCGATCCTCATGAAGGTGTGCTCTGCTGCGCCTTTGTGGAACTCGAAACGGATCCTTTGGGCCTGATTTTGAAGGATGTCCACATAAGCTTGAATGGAGAGGACTATACTAGTTCTAGTTCTTGACGTAGAAAATTATGACTACGGCACAATGGGGAAGAAGTGGTTTTCAGTTCTGGGATGTCAAATGGACAAAATGGAAGCACTTTTACATATACTTCATACCTGCGCAAGGCGGGTACCATGTCCATTTGGGGCCAGCAAGACAAGTCCGTGCCAGGCATCACGGAATCCAACAACCTCAATAAGTCTATCATCGACAAAAGGTGCCGTCAGCTCCCTCTGTAGATTTTGTTTTTTCAAGACAGAGGTTTGATTATTAGTTCCTCTGAAGATTTCCAGTAAATAATCTGTGAATAGCTACAATGCGAAATTCACGTGTTGAATGACAAGCGTAGTGCATGTAAACTCACCTCTTCTACTTTCCTTGTGCCAGGTGTGCCCCAAGGATTCAGACCTCCAGAGAAACTAGGCAGGTTGAGACAGACGATTGATCGAATGCTGCAAGAGGCAGTAGTACACAGGTCACAACTTTGCTCATAGATTATGGTAGCATCCTCCATCAACAAGCAGAACATAAATCAGAAATGTTGCCAACATGTGCAAGCAAGAAATCCAAGGAACATATTGTAACTTGCAAGGAAGCAAAACTGAAACAGTATATCCGAGTTTTTCTTCTCTTCTGTTTTCTTTTCTTTTCGATTCAGTTCTTTTTACAGCTTTCAAAGTAATGTATACTGCTTCCAATCTTAATAGAAAAGATACGCAAGCCTTTTGCGTATCCCAAAAAAGAAACAGTATAAGCAAAATATTCCAAGTGCAAATGAGAAGCTTTCTTGTATCATATCATACTAGTAGGCTCAAATAACAGTACACGGGGGAAAAAATAATTCATAGTACAACAAAAGGAATGAACAATGTTTACCTGTGGTGAATGTTAAGTTCTTGCCAGTGGCTACCGGCTCTTTTCATGATTTTCACACTTGCAAGTTGAGCAATATTCCTGGAAATGAAGCACTCAACCTTACAACCAAAACGAAAAGAAGGAAACAACTTGAACGCACACAAATTGATTACACCAAATTTCAAATTTAACATTGCCAAGTACAGGTTTAAGCTTTGACAATAAATTTTGTGGACTGAATCTATAAACTGCAAGGATGGTGCTAATATGAAGGAACAAAAAAGGGCACAAATGAATTGATTGGTGTAGTTTGTAAATGCAATGTACATTGAACACCCCCAAAAATGCTGGAGTGGGTATACTCCCTATAACTTCTCTCTCCACATTACTCACAGATATTTATAGGAGTTAGGTGGTATAATATTAAATTAGAGACACCTTGACTGCAAAGATAACACAATACAAGTATACAACTAGCACAACAGGTATACCATGAAATATGTTAATGATAAATCAACAAGCTACCTTGAAGATGGATGACTTAAAGAAGCACAAAACCATCCTTGTTTAAGTCCAACCTTAGCATATGTACCCTGTATAGATTAAATGGATTAACACCTGGCAAAGTTAAGTCATTCAGCCAGATTGAAATTGACTAGAGGGACATTTATCTAAATCAATATAGAAGTAAATTTCACATATTTACAGGTATATTAGCTATCAAGGATTACATATTTAGGAATCAATTTGACAGAACTAGAGATGTAAGTGCAATATTTTGTAACAACTACAGTTAAGAATTCCAGTAACATGCAATGGGTATTGGTCCCATTCGACACTTCCTCACTTCTCATAGCTCATAAAAGTTCTGTATAGTAAGATCCCACAGGAAGACATAAGAAATGGGTGTTGAGCACATAGAGAATCTAAATAAGGTCAATTGTACGTCTCAAGTCTCTGCCTGCCAAATAAAGAGGCAGTTCAGTTGGAACAATTTTAAACTTACGAGTAATTCAGAATCTGCAGCACAGCGAAACAGTACAAAAGAAATCATCACAATGCACAATAATAAGAATATAATATACCTGATTTGTCAGCTGGTTTTTGAATTTCTCTGGATTTTTCTTCCTTTCAGAATGAAATCCGTAAGAAATTTCTGCATCCATACCTGCAAAGATCATCACGTATGAAAATTTGAATTTCTGAGTCATTGAATCAATATATGCTCTAGGTTCTTGAAGAAACTTGGGATCTTTTTTCCAAATATAATAAACTACGACAGTAGTGATCATGAGTCCCACAGTACTTGCCGTACATGGAACCAGCAGGTGCCTGCATCTTCATAGCACAAACTAGCATGCAACATCAAGTTCCACGGTAAACTAGAAACCAAACCATCAGACTGTTTAGGGTCCATAACTGGAAGTGGCCATGAACAGACAAAGCCTTACCCATACTAAAGTAATTCCAAAATCCTCCACGGAATGTGTGGTAACCTTCCTGAAGGGGAAAAAAAAAGACCAATTGAGGAAATGAATTAAATTCAATGCCACTTGGGTCTTGACATATAACAATTTTCGTCAACAAGAAACATAGTAACTTAGAAAAACTGGACAGATTGTCTTACCATATTGAGGGAATCACTACTTGACACACGGTGAAATGCATGTAATGAATGAGGCAACTCTAAGGGGGCGATTGGATCACATGGACCTTCCTTTGTAGCTCGCATCCTCAACATGATATGCCAGCTGAAACATTCATGTGCACATTACATTGTAGTCTTCTGTTGTGTTTGAATGAGGTATAAAAGGGAAATCATGTTTTAGACTGGGAGGAAGGACAAACAGATTTGAAGAGGTAATTATTCAACTACTTAAGGTTCATTAAAAGAGTTCAGTATTGATTGATTGCAAGTTTGGGGGTTTATGGCAAATATTAAATAAGTTAATCAGCCGCTTAACCCTTATGAGCAGGATCAAGGCAAAAGTCAAAGCTTAAAGTAAAGTGATATCTTTATGGCATTACCTATCAATTTTCATCTCTTTTGCATGCCTCACTAGCCCAAGGAATGATTTTACTGACTCTTGGTCAGTACAAGGATTCTTCTTTCCCTGCGATGTTTAATTCAGCAAAAGTATACAAGACCATGATCAGGAACAGGTTAAAGTTCAGGCAAGAATCATTTAAAAGATCATTTAACACAGAACAACTTATACATAATGGACTCTAGTTTAAGTACATCACTTTTGCCACCTCCCTTCAAAAACTAATTGACACAAGAAGATGATTTGTTAAGTACACATTAATTTCTGACCACTTACCCATCCAAATGAAAATGGAAGGTTGTTTCCGGTTCCCAGAGGCACAGTAGCAATTGGAGGAGGGTGTGAAAGCTTGAGATCACTGACTACCCCAAGCAGCCAGCTTGCCGTACCATCGCCACCTGCAACCTAATTGAAACCTCTTTTAAGTCAACAGAAATGGAAATGGAAAGCCAAAGAGACTTCCTACTCTGCAAATCTGCATAATATAACCTCAAAGCATCATCACTCACAATTATTCTGAGAGTTCTCCAAATTTGAACAGCAAGAATGTCTCCATCCATCTTGAGCTTCTCAAGGTTGACATTCAAACGGTGCAACACTTTATCCGGAGCCTCTTCGGAGACATCGAAAACCTGAAAAGAACACAGCAGCCATCAACAACTGATATAACAAAAGCCACATTCCTTTCCTGACGCCACAAGGCAAGAAAGGAAATCACATTTCCAAACACGCAGACGATATACCTGCGCTTCACCGAGAAGTTCACGGTAGGTTTTGATCAGGCTGCTCCCGAGCTGACCACCAGATCCAGAATTGATGAACACCAGCACGGGGCACGGGGGCGCATGATCAAGAAGCACCCGCTGCGCATCCGGCCTCAGGATGTAATCCGGAATGCGGTAATCCGTCAGCGGCCCGCATGGCTTGGATGATGAACCCACCACAGTATCCATCTCCCCTTCCATCCTGCTCCTGCAAATCGATTATGACACTTCAATTCCCCTAAAAAGAACACCACAACAAATGCCACCACCACAAATTCAATTCCTTCTCCTGAGATGATTCAGGCCAAGAAACAGTCGAATCCAACACACCAAACCCACAAACACCCGTGTCGATTTGTCTCGCAACAGATCATAAATCGCAGGAGGCCATGGATGAAAGGGAAAAATTCGAACTTATCATCCACAAGAGAAGATAAAAAAAGAAACCGCCTTTGGATCGTTACCCAGGACTGGAAAAGGAACTACCTTTCTCGGCCGGTGGCGCGGGCGCCAGTGTCAGATCGCCGGCGGCGGCGGAGGGAGGCCGCTGTCGCCGGGAAATGGGTGGCTCGCGAGCAGAGGCGGAGGCGGGAGGCCGCGCGGGGATGAGGGAAGAAGAAGAGAGAGAAGGAGAAGTGTTCGCTCTTCTCCGCAGGATGAGGCGCGAGTGATTAATAATTAGAGGCAACCCATGTAATTAGTGTTAATCTAATAGTACTCAATTAAACCCTTGTAATTAGTGTTAATCGTTTTGATTCTTTTAAAGTCAAACTTAAAAGAAGTTTGATCAAGTACAAATAACCGAATAGACATGCAACCATAGCAATTGCTCCTAGTAAGCGAATAGACACACTGCTTAGATATGATCAATTTGAGAATAACTCAAAATTCTTGTAGGATAATCAAAATGAGATGAAGGAAGTACTAATTAACTAAACCCATTTAATTAGAATAGTTCGTTTTGATTTTTTTAAGTCAAATTTCAAGAATTAATACCATTAAAACCAACAATTAATATATTTGAATAATAGATTTGTTTTCTGTCGAAAATATCGCTATACTTTTTATAAATCTAATTAAACTTAAAAATATACTTAGTAGAAAAATCAAGCTACTTATATAATATAAAACAGAGGGAGGATGAAATTATTTGCTGCAATTGCTGGCCAGATATGAGACGAAATATGGGCCGTTGGATTGCGCGGATTAGTGGCTAAATCCGTGGATGGACGGCACATGTTGGGTCAACCCAAGTCTGGGCTGGACTTAGAATCATATAGCAATTTGGTACAGATATTGCTATCTGAAACAGTATTGATGATAAAATTATAAATTTATTTATTGCATAATGTCACATCAGATGGGTATGTGCTGTTATGAGAATGTCAAGTGGCTTGAATAGTTGAATGAGGCTTAAAGGCTGTCGCCTTTTCGCATCTGAAGCGAAGTTGATTGGAAGATAGAATTTTGCTAATTATTCTGCTGGAGTAGTGCAAAGTAGTAGTTCACTTAATTAATTGTACAAATCTAGCTACTTTTGTCTCTAAGATTGGGGATGTATCTGGTACATTGATGGTCTAGACAGTGTGTTCTAGGCAGGTAACTATAGAACTCCCTCCGTACCATAATATAGGATTTTGAGTTTTTGTTTGCACTGTTTGACCGCTCGTCTTATTCAAAAAATTTTAGAATTATTATTTATTTTTTTTTGACTTACTTTATTATCCAAAGTATTTGAAGCACAACTTTTTATTTTTTATATTTTCATAAATTTTTTGAATAAGACGAGTGGTCAAACTCTATAGGTAAAAACTCAAAATCCCTTATATTATGAAATTTTTTTAATAAGACGAGTGGTCAAACTCTATAAATAAAAATTCAAAATCCTAATATTATGAGACGGAGGGAGTAGTCCACAGCAAATAGGGTAATTTAGATACATGGACGCATTGCACGTATGGTCTTGTCTCTTGTACAGTAGGTTGATCATTTTGAAAGGTCAAACTTTGTCTAATCAGGCTGAAACTTTGACAGCTTCATAGTGTGGTTCATATTTTATTCTAGAAGTTTCACGTAGGGTCTATTCATGTAACTATCAAAATGAACATTTTCACAATTTCGGTACGTTAATAATATTATCAAATTTTTGTAGGATAGGCTAAATATGTTGTTGTTAAAAATCTTTAGTCATTACCAGTATTTTAGTAACAAACTAAATGCATCCATGTATCTATCAATTTTATCAAAAGAGATGGTATGGTTTAAAATGACACCAATCTAAACAGGCTTATAGTTTTGACTTTGATACTATGTACTTTTATAAATTTTGACAATTTGACCCTTTGCAAAAACTATTTTTACAAATGAACCGTTGCCAAAACTTATTTCAAATCTGACCATTTTGCTCAACGCCAAATCGTGTGGCGCTAAACTTAGACACCTCAGCGCCAAATAGCATGGCGCTGAATGTACGTTGGCACGCTGACTTAGTCTCCCATTCGCCGTGGCACGGCATTCAGCGCCAGCTGACGTGGCGCTGAGGTGTCTAAGTTCAGCGCCACATGATTTGGCATTGAGCAAAAGGGTCAGATTTGAAATAAGTTTAGACAGCGGTTCATTTGTAAAAATAGTTTTTGCAAAGAGTCAAATTGTCAAAATTTGTGATGTACTTTTGCCATCGTCGGTATGAGATGTTAATTACCAGTTTACCACTGTATTTCAAAATCATATTGTCTTGTTTGTTTAATCCCTCCCATAGAGAAATCGAGGGGGATTTGAAGGGAATTTAATCCACACGTATTGTGATGTGAAATTATTCCTTCTCAATACTCTTCAATCCCTCTATCTTAGGGATTAGACGAACAAATCTTACCTGAGAACCAACGGAAACAAACATAACCTTTCTATTTTCTTAGGGATACTTAGGTGACAAGATAAAATACAGATATATAAAAAACCAACAGAATGCATATAGGCACATAAGTAACTTTTTAAAAATCCATAACCTCTCTGTTTTAGCTAATTCTACCTGCCTTTCGTTGAGAATCATCTATCTTTGATGGTTAGCTAAGTTTGTAATTGAAAAATAATTGATTATGCTGCTATCGATGTAATTTCTAGTAGCTATAGAGAAGACTATATATATTACATCTATTACTTTTGCAAACCACATCTCCGCAACTTGTATTTCTACTTGTCTCGAAATTAGTACATTTCAAAACTAAGTTATGTGTAACAGTTATGCAGCCAAAGCATGCCACCGTATGTTTGTTATGAATATGACATGTCGTTAATGTAACTAGTACTTAGATAATACACTTTCAAATGTCGTTAATATCGTATTATTCTTTTGTTTATTTAATAATACACTTTCAAATAAGGAAAGCCCTTTTTTAAGGTACCATGGTAAATTTATAGTGTATAGATCCACCTACTGGGATTTAAAGTATAGTTTTCATAATTACAAACACCCAAGTATACAAAGTTACTACTTATGTGCCTAAAAAAGTTCCTTAATTAACACATCTTAAAAGTGGTAAATACTTAAATGTCCCCAATTTAAATAGGTTCATGGAGTGCCTCCTTCGACTAGGCCGATTTAGATCCTCTTGGGCCAGGGCAACCACCGGTGAGCCCAATAAGATTGCCAAGTTCACCAAGACAAAGTCTACCTATGATCAAAACAGACCAATTATTTTAATTTTATTCTTTGGATTTCTTATCTCTATTTTCCCTCACCAGCTCCTTTGTTTACTCCCTAAAAGGGCCTAAACCCCTAAACCAAGGGAATCAAGCAACAATAATTGGAGCTATATTTTTACAATTCAAATGCAAACAACATTTATACAATAGGCATGTACCATATTGCAAAATGTTAAGCCCAAATCTGGTTATGAATACTTGAATTGTACCATACCAATCATGCCCAAATTTGTTTTTCAGTGCGCAGATTGAACTTAGTAGTGCATGTTAGTGGAGTGGCTTATAACATTATAATCTATGTTATCGATATTTTTCTTAAAAAATCATGGCTATTTACATGAGATATCTACATGCGCACTTAAGTTGCAAAATGAGCTGCAGATTTGTAGCAGGTCTCTTGTGGTCTTCTACTCCTGTTCTCAAAAATATACTGATGTCGTTTTGACATGTCTCGAAGTTAAAAATTCTAAAACCATGACATCAATATATTTATAGGGGGTTGATGTATGAAAATTCCGTACAGATTCGCCTCCAAGGAAGTAGCATTCCCTCTATTTTATAAGGACATTCCCAACCCAAGACACTAAACATGGTTTCCATAAACTCCACATCATTAAGAAACTAGTACTAGACACTACTCTTCCAATGCAAACACCAATATTCCATACTTAAATTTAATGTTACTTATCTCAGATGATGTCTTGGATGTTGCGTAGAAACTATGTCTCATGCAAGATATGATTTCCTTCTTTTTCCTCATTTATTCAATTGCCACATCATTTTTCATTCTAAGTGACAGCTTATTTAATGCTATGGACACCATCCTAGTCATTGGGTTGGGAATGCCCTAATACATGATGCCTCTAAATTTTGACATACATTTATCATTCATCTTATTTAATTTTTTGTGAAAATATAAACAATAAAATCATACTTAAAGTAAACTTTGTTAAAAAAACAAATCACAATAAAATAAATTATTATTATTATTATTATTATTATTATTATTAAAGCGTATAGTCAAAACATATTTCTTATAAAATCAACCGCGTCAATATTACAATTTTAAATTCCTATTGATGCCCAGCACGATTTATTTTTATGCCGGTGGGAGTAGACGTCAAAGAACAAACTCACTCTGTCAAGAGCTCATGCCGTGCGGTGGATATCTAGTGGCCTACATTTCCCTGTTCCCTTGTGCAAAGATCTTTTCAGATCGGCAACTGATATGGTTCATATATTTTGCATGGTCCACATTCCCTAGGATTTCTGCCCTGCAGCAGCAAAGGTTGTGGCAAATGTTCCCCTCCTCTCCATTCCATGGCCATGGATGGCCCTCCCACCCTTCTTCTTTCCCTTCAATTCAATTCAATGCATCCTCCCTCCTATGGTTGGCAGCAATGGAGAGGGACCAATTTTTTTGCAAGGACTGTCCTTAGGCAGAGTACAACCCCTTAGAACCACATGATCGAGTAACCCGTGATTGGGCCGTCTCTTTTTGAGGATCAATCTAGAGGCGCACGCTATTCCCTTTGTACGGATCAGTTTAGTCGCGTACTATTCTCTTTCTACGAATCGGTTGGTCTGGTTTAATTTTGTTTTTAGATCTCCAATAATAGGGAGGTATTATAATTCATGTAATTTTTTTAAAAAACAAACAAGTCTATATCAAATTTCACTATTACTGTAAAAGCAAAGTCGTCCTCTTTCCATCCCCTTCTCCCACCGTGCTCAGTGCGTCTTCGCTTGCATAACCACTGGATCTAATATTCATCAATCACCCTTATAGTATATCCCTAATTATATGGACATGATTGGTTCTAACACATGGACATGCTACTAGTAATAATAAAAGCGTGTAATTTAAGAATGACATGACTTGAAAAATCTGTGGAAATAGTATGGCGTGTAAACGTACACCAATAAACAGGAAGGGTGTAATTCGTGGAAAATTTCTCAAAATACATAACTGTGTATCAAATTAATTATACATGCTTTTAAAATGAGACGAGAGGTTAGCCATGTGAAATGAGAGGTCTTTTAAAATGAGAAGAGGGTCAAATGATAGGACCTATTATCCCCTTTTCCTTCTTGCACGGTCCTGAGCTCCTATTGACCCAAACCCACTTATCTTATTCTCCAAGTGGATCATTTCCAAGCAAATTCTAATCTCCAGATCAGTTTCATCAAGCATGTGGCATGCATGATGTCCCCCTTACCAAACGCCAATGGATCTCTACTACTTTCACACCACAAAGCAAGCATGCAATGCATCTTTCTTTATATAATTTTTATTGTCCTTTTTTTCTGTGGTGAGGGATGTGTGATAATGACATGGGTGATGGGGGAAGATCAGGATGAAGAATTTGATGCCCTGAACAAGGAAAAGGAAAAGGAGACTTAGCCTCAATGTTATTAGCACTTGTGTGTTGCTTTCACTGACCTCATAAGAGTTTCAACCTTGGGCAAAGTTTTTCAGAAGAGGTTACTTATCCATTTCTTCCACCAAGCAGGATTTTTCCATTTAAGAACACACTGAAATCGACCACATAAATATCCTAACAAGAATCCCATCCTAATCCCACAAAGCCTACCTGGAATTAGAGATAAGTTCAGTAGAATATACATGTGGCATTTTGTGCAAATTGTGGGTAACGTGTATTCTCTTTCTGGCTCCAGTAACCATGAGAACTACAGAAATTCGACAGCCATCGAATTTACAGATTTCAACACATTTCAGCCAAGATTGTGATTTCTGAACAAGTTTGAGACTGAACATAGGGCACAATGGAAGCATTCAGACAGTGAAACCATGGAAGAATGGCACTGCAAATGCAAACCTATATCATTTCTTAAGTTAGCCAGAACGCCTCATCCAAAAGGACAAAAAGGGATTTAAACACATGAAAGTAGTGGGGGCACATATACAAGCTCCAGCAAGCCGTCGCGATTATGAATACTACCGAGTTCTGGGATGGCCGCGTGATAAGTCGACTCTGCAAGTTGTCGACGGAAAAGATGTGAAGATGTGTGTGCTCGGTGGAGGTTTGATCTTTGCAGTGATCCACATCTCCCCCCAAATGCCTGGATACACCAAAAGTGACCTTCTAATGTAGTTAGCATCAGCATCTACATCATTGTTTCAGTTGCCTCAGGAAAAGCTGCATAACAAAAAGGATAACATCAGTTACTACCTTGTTAAAATAAAACAGCACTCACTAACTGATCAAGGTTGCCCAATTTTTGCCGCAAAAAGGAGAACATGGAAATCTTTCGACCTAGTGCCAATCTTAATACAGATACATGCATAGACCCTTTCAAGTTAAAAGGTTGGAAAGATAAGCACTAAAAACAGGACTACAATGTTCGACACGATCCGATGCCACTTCGACACCGCACTGGCTCACCTGCCATGTACATGGCAATATACTCAAACTGGATGAAGGAAAAGTAGATTTGCAATGCTCTTGGAATCTAAAAGCTAGTTTGCTATCAATCAACTACAACAGTAGTGGGATTGCAGAGCACTCCAAGCATCATATGATGGCGTTCAGCAAGCAAGGCAAGCAAAGCTATCTCCTTATGATGTAGGCATATAGCCATCTTTTTCAGCAGTAGCAACTTCATGACAGTAAACCTAGAGGTTGTTATCAACCTCTCACTACAACTTTTACATCAAAAATTTACTCACCCTTTTTTTTTCCCTTTCTTGCTCACTTCTTGATATTTTCACATCATGCTTGCACTGGTCCATAAAAAAAATCTTGATATTTTCACATCATGCTTGCAAGAACACTACATCATCGTGCCATTGTTCGATAAGTTGAATTTTTTTTTCTCTTGCTTTTATGAAATTATGGTTGCTAAGCTTAGGAATTCTTGGGAATAGTAGGATTGTGAACTCACTCATTTCGACCAACGACCGCATTGGAGCAATTCCTCCCCTGCACGCCGCTCACCGACTGCGCCAACCCCGACCGGCGGAAATCCGAGGGCGATCTCTTCCTATGCCGGGAGGCAAGGAATCGGCCGCCGACGCCACCGCCGTTCCGGGAGGAGGTGGCCTCGTCGCTCCGGCCACCACCGCCATGGTGAGCCGAGGACGCGTACCGGCACAAGCTCGGCTGCGACGTCGAGCACGGCTGGTCCTCCTGCAAGAGACACATCGATCGGCATTTGCATCAGACACGAAGCATCAAAACCTTATGCAAGAACGCGTGATCTTTGCCTCCGAAATCGGAAGAAATGATCAACCGATCGATCGATCCGAATAGTGCCGTGCCGTGATTGTGTAGCCCAAATTGGCGAGAGTGATCCAGGTTTGCAAGATCAGAAGAAGCCAAATCAAAGGAAGAGGGAGAAGGAGAAGTGAGGGCACCTTGACGCGGTCGGCGGCGTTCGCGCCGTTGGCGGCGGCCTCCCGGCTGCTGCTCGACGTGGAGCTCGCGACGGGCGGCGGCGTGGCCTCCGCCTCCTCCGCCCACGGCACCACCTGGTTCTCCCCCTCCCCCTCCCCCTCCTCGTCTTCATCATCCTCGTCCTCCTCCTCCTCGACGACCACCTCCTCGTCCTCGTCCTCCTCCTCCTCATCGCCCTCGCCGCCCATCTCCTCGTCTCCCCCACCACCACGGCCTCCACCACCAGCAGCGCCTCCACCTCCTCCACCACCACGGCCACCACCGCCGCGGCGGACGCAGCGCTCGCAGAGCGACGCGGTGGGGCCCAGCCTGGGCCCCGCGGCGCGCCACGGCGTGGGCCTCGCGCACCCGCGGCACAGCAGCGCCCGCGCGTGCCGCGCCACCAGGAAGTTGGCCCCGTGCACCTGCGCGTCGCACCCCCAGCACAGCGTCGCCTCGTCCGCCCCGCAGTACACCCTCGCCGCCGCCCCGCACAGCTCGCACGCCCCCGCACCCGCACCACCACCCCCACCACCAACCCCCTTCTCCTTCCCCTCCGCCGCCACCGACATGATCTCTCTCTAGCTAGTTTAGCTTGTCTCGAGCTTTCTCTCTCTACCTCGACTTGTACTAGTATGTTTGATTGTTGGTCTGTTTGTTTCTCTCTCTAGGGTGGGGGTGGTGTGGTTTTGAGCCTGGAAGGGAGGATCGTCTGCGGATGCGCTGGGGACGGGCACTACTGGCGGTGGAGGCTCCAGGTGGACATTCCCTCCCTTCCCCCTGCTTTCTTTTATTTTTCTCTCTCTGTCTTTCCCTTCCCTTTCCTATATGCTTTGCTTGCTGTTGTTCCTCGGTCAATTTTTGGCCCCTTGTTCACGCCGTGTTTAGATTCCAAATATTTCTTTAAACTTCTAACTTTTCTATCATATCAAAACTTTTCTATACACGTAAACTTCCAATTTTTTTCGTCATATCATTCTAATTTCAAACAAACTTTCAATGTTGATCTGAACTAAACACAGTCAGTTTCACTGCAAAATCTAACTTGCTTTCCCATAAGCAGTAGAGGATCTATTAAAGGTTTATAAGTGATTGTTTGGTTTATGGTCATGCTTCTCTTATGTGGATTTGAACAAAAATATTAAAATTTTGTATAGGATGTTTTTCCTATTGGATAATTTGAAACGAAGAATTGAAAACTAATTGAATTCTATGAAATTTCTGAGGAATGTCTCGATTCATATAAATTTTTTAGGATTTTTAATACGAGGTCCAATCTCATAAAAAGTAGTTTTATGAGTTCATCTGTCCTATACAATTCCTACATCTTTTTTTCGATCCAATTAAGCGATCATTTCTTTATTTTTTGTGTTTCATAATCATATGTTTTGCACGTTGATTCTTGCATAATCCTTTTTTTATTGCTCCGTTTTATCAATCATGTGTTTCAAAGGAACTCTTTTTATATTTGGTTGTGTGGTTTATCATACTTTTTCAATAACATGTCCCATATATTATTGATTTAATTTTTTACTAACTTTTGCTGCTAGCAATTTATTCATCATACTTTTATATACTACAACTTGCGTAACCTTAGTTGTATTTAACTGTGGCTGACAACTAAACAACTCATAAACTCCAAACAAAAGTTGATTATGGATAGTAGGAGTATTTGTTATAAGTTACAGTATTTCAGCTGTTCTAATCAGATAGAATTTCAAGGGGATCGCCAACGGTTGCAGCGTAGGGCATTTAACCTTGGGTCTGAAAATTACAGTTAACCTAATTCTTGTATTATGTTCATGAGCTCTCCTATCGAGTAGGTAGTATTGTACTCCCTCAGTTCCACATTTATATAATGTTTTGACCTCTTGATTTCTCCAAATTCACTAATATTTATATAAATTTGGACACATATATATTCATACATAAATGTATTAAAACCTAAAACATTTAGTGTGAAATAGAGCAAATTAACATAATGTAATCTATGTTACTCAATTATCTTTTATATTTAAGTGATCTTATACTTTTGGAATAAACAAAGAGTTATCCATATGTTGAACGGAATATCAGTTGACCCACTATTGTTTGCAGTTGCCTCCTAATATTAGTATGAGGCGTAGACAGTCAACATGTACCTTTGCAGGTTTTATTTTATGATGTACAAAACAATACCTTAATTTCTTTTTCAAAAGATAAAACCAAGGAAAAAAACAGGACATTGGAAAATCTAATGAATTGTCGGTGCGAAATGGCACTCCTTGATATTTTTCTCATGAAAATCAAATATTTTTTTAAAAAAAGGTTAGCTAAAATTATGAAATAAAATACTCCAGGGTAGTACGAACAGAACACGTTCCTGTTTTCACAATAAATAAATAAAAAAAAACAACTCTTTTAAGTGTTGTGTGCATCTAGTTTACTGATGAGTACTAATTTCATTGATATATTTTATGACGAATGTATTACTCTTTCATTTCAATATAAGCATAATAAGTATATATGTGATATATCTTACGACTATGAATTCGAACCGTTATGACTAAAATAATAGTTCTAAGATATTTTATTACGTGTTAAGTTGTAGTACTACGTATTTATATTTATTGGAATGAAAGGAGTAGGCTGCTAGCAGTCGTAGATGGTGGGAAGAAAGAAATTAAAAAAAGAAGAAAAAAGGAAAAGGAAGAAGACTGGTGGAAGCCGTGGACATGAGGCTAGCAAGAGGGGAGAGAGGCGGCGAGCGAGGAAGGCCACAACCACAAGGTGCGGCGGACGCTGAGGTGGTGGGGGTGGCCCACGTGACGACCACCTCGTATTCCTCGTTCCCCACGCCCCCCTCCCCTTCCTCCAGATATTTTTCGACTCTCTCATCTCCCATATCTCTCCGCCTACAAGCTGCCTACCACCACTACATCACCCTGGCCTGCCTTGATTAATCTGCTTTCTCTCTCGCTAACCAAGTTGCTAATTCTTTTATTAGGCCTGCTACAAGTACTAATCGTGATTTAATCTCGTTTAGTTAGCTGCCCACGATAGTGGCTGCGTAGTGGAGCATTCTCCTGCATCTACATCCTTTTCGTATTGAGGAAATTAAAGGAGGCACAAATTAAACTCTCGGTACGAAACCTTCCAAACATCTAGTGCAAGCTCGCTCTAAACTCTTGTTCTGTTATGCCGGTGTTCTAACTTATGTAAATTGGCCACGTCTGAGTGCCTCACCCTCTCCCTCTCAATTCCAAAGATGTGTTTAGAGTGAAGTTTGGTGTCAGCTGTAAGGGTTGAGTTTTGGGCGATCTCAATTGTAGTTCCTTTGTTGACCTAGTTGCAACCGGTCACGTTTAGTGATGACTGGTCTAGTGCTAGCCTTCTCTTGGGTCAGTGTGTTGGCGTTGTTGGTGCGTGGGTGGTGGTTATTTTTTTCTTTATTTTCCTAGCTATGACCTCACAAGATCGTAATATTGTAATTTTTTTCTGCTATAACAATATGAACTTAGCATCTAGTGCAAGTCGTTAAAAAAAAACTCCCGGTACTCACCACTAGCTCCGTCCATGTTCATAGCTATTAGTAAAAAAATTTTAGGATGGAGGATGTCCTCTGGTTTATTGCGTTCACTTCGAAGTTCTTCTTTTCTCCGTCCTAAATTCCTTCTCATTTTCTCTATTTTTTCTGCAGAGTCACATCCAGGGCACATAATTTTTCATTCTAATTTCGGCTAAAAGGTTGGTCCTCACGACCACTAACCCCTGGAATTAATTTCTATAAATATCGAACGAAATTCACTGACTGCAAACATGACTGCAAAAAACCTTGGTTACATCGTGAGTATCTACTTTCCTTTTTTTTTTGAGAGAGAGAGTGGGGATCGCGAGCATCTCTACTTGGCATGGCTAAATTTGAATTTTTCAAATTTGATTTAGGATTATTTCCATGAGTTATTTCATCAAACCGTTTTTCTTCTTTTCATACCCTGATATCAGACTGTAAATTTCAAAATTAGCTCAAATGAATGCTCGATATAGCTTTCGCTTTTAAGCACAAGCTTATTTGAATTTTTAAAATTAATTCAATTTTCTAGGGTGTACGATTACAATTTGTTTTCAAATACGGGTGACTCATAAAAATAAAATTATGATGAAACTGTGAATGGTGGGATGGAAGTATTAAAAATAGAATACCATATCCAGTTTCAACAACAAATTTAGAGAAATTCATGCGATAAAACTAACCCTGCAACAGCATAATTATATATGTGGCCTCATTTTTATGTTTTGAGACTGCTTTCAATTCCTTAATTTGGACCAATTTTGGCCTTACTACTGACCCATTATACACTTGCGACATTGTTACGCGGTTGGATCTTAGTTTACCTGATTCGATGACTGATCCATCAGATTCCGTGTCAAATCTGTTTAGTAGTACTATTATTTATACCCTACTCTCTCTGTTTAAAAAAAAAAAAAGGCAAACATTAGTTTTTCGTGTTCAACTTTGATTGTCCGTCTTATATAAATTTTTTTATAATTCGTATTTTTATTATTGTTAGATGATAAAACATGATTAATATTTTATGCGTAACTTGTCTTTTTATTTTTTTCATAATTTTTTTAAATAAGACGGACACGTTGGACACGGAAACCATGGTTTGTCTTTTTTTACCGAGGGAGTACTAAGGGCATGTACAACCCACAGATAGGGGTTCGTCTCCAAGAACCTCGAAGTTATCATCCAGACAGATATAAAGACAGCTCATACAGCCCATAGACAGAGGATCTGTCTGTAAGCTGTTTAATGCTTTTGCATGTAGCTTTGATCAATTGCAAATACGTTTGTGTATACCATTGTGTGGCTATATATTTGAAATAATACTATCAAGCATGAATAAGATACATGATTACAATAATTTTTAGGAACCATAAATATAATAATTATATTACAATGCCTTTAGTCTAATTTCGTCGCCAAACTTTTCAATCACCCCTTCAGCAAATTTTATAGTATAAAAGTGAGGCTTGAATTCACGTTCACATTCACAGAAACGGGCATGCACATAACTGAAGCATTCACATAAAGGAGCACATATACATAATGCCTGTAACTGAAGCATGCACATTCACATTCCAGAAAGAAACTGAAGGGTACATTCACATTCACATAAGCAAATAAGTCCTCTCGGCACTCCAACAGAAACTGAAACTGAAGCATGCACATTCACATTCCAACAGAAACTGAAGTGCACATTCGCATTTACAAATCACATTCACATTAATTCAGAAACTGAAACTGAATGAGACCTCTCGGCACTCCAACTGACCTCACAGGATGTATATGTATAGAGACATACACTGAACCTGCTGAAAGATTAAACATAACTGCATATGTATATAGAGAGAGTACAAAAAGAAAAGGAATGCAATAAAAGGCTAATATGCCCATCTTTTTCCCTAGATTATATATACTCCATATTAGTAGTATAGTGTATCACTGAACAAGCACCAAAATAGGCTTAGTGGATTGAGCATGAACAAAAATTATATAAACTGAGACATACACTGAACCTGCTGAAAGATTAAACATAACTTGCCAATAGCCAGAGTTTAGGATAGAAAAAGTGGAAAAGTTGGTTTAGGATAGAAAAAACAGCAAGATAATTTGGCATTCACCAGATAGCCAAAGATAGTAGCCTCCACTTGCAAAATTGACATATCTGTATCAATAACAGTAAGGTTCATATTAGACACTGAAGGGACTGCCTAAGACACTTGTAATCACACATATTTGTGGCAATAACATGTAAGTTTCA